TGTATGGTACATTACAGTATAGAAAATATTAGATGAATTTCAATATAAAATAAAAATAATTCCCATTTTTATGTTGACTTTTATTAAGCTAACAAGTATTGCATATAAATGAGACACCCATTTGGAGCCTACTGTACTGTATAGTACGTGGATTTCAAACTTGCACAGTTCTTTGTAATTTATGTAATGAAAAAGCAGTTGAAATTGTAAAATTGTAAAATTGTAAACCCTTTTGTGTTAAGAACTTTCAAAGGAAAATGTAAGACGAAATGAAATAGACAAGAAAAACCTGCTACCCAAATCACCACAAAAGTTGACTAGACAACTCCCAAAGTGGCTACAGACTGTACTTTTACGCTTCCTTCATTCGTAAGCCATAAGCAGTTGGAGCCTTTCTCGCGTCTATCGTTCATCTAAGCCATTTTCAGTGTTCATAAAAGTTTTCCTTCTTGTATCTTTTTGTATCTACATCTTTTTCTTTGAATTTATGATTTTTTAATCGTTTTTGAAGTAATTAAACTTTGTTGGCATCTGATTTAAGGCGTCTGGTTTCAGGTTTCCACTTGGCTCATTGTGATTAATGTGGAGTATAAATATTGTACTTCAGAATTATTGGTCTCTATGTGTAATATTTTTTTTTATGTTTATATATTAATGCGCATAACATAGCAATTGCGTTGAATTGATTGAGTTCAAATTTCCGTTGATACTCAGTTTTATATTATTAAATGTTATCCTTTTTTGAACCACAAAGTTTCAAACAAAACGTATTTACATTTTCATTATTCAGTGCTTGCGTACACTCGTAGATACTTTCTTGTTCTGTTAATCTATGCGCAGTACACATGCTTCACTTGATGTACTGTTTGTTCGGTTGTGTGGAAGAGACTCGAACTTATGTCAATCACCTGTAAAGCAATCACAAAAAGCGCAGGCGTTCGGCCCCTAAATATGTACAAAACAATCACTGCTGGGGAATATTTGAAAATAAAGTACAAAAATAAATTGAGAAAGTACTCCGTAGACCTTCTCGAATTGCTCTTTTGTAAAGAGTTTAAATTTAAAAGAAAACAGTTCCACAGTTCCACGCATCAGTGTACACTGTACACAATAAAAACGCCCCTAACAAGACAAACAACGCACGTTAGCAGCCAACAACACTACAGAGAAACCACGAAAGGATTAAAGTTATTCAAATACCGAAATTTGATTTTGATAGATTCATATAGTAATGAGACGGCACATTTTAGATGCGATTGAGATGCGGCATGTTTTGCTTCTACTGATGTGTAATGACGTTTTTGGAATTAAAAATAGATACCAAATTCGACGTATCTGCGTCGCTTTCTGATTGTGCGTACGCAGTTAAAATTCTAATTTACCTCTCAGTTCACTCACAGTCTAATGCCTAATACATCAAATGAACTGTCGTGATTAGAATTCCATATTAAATTACAAAGTAAAGGCAATTTTTGTTCGATAGAAAATGAAATTAAATTTTGATTTGATTTTAAAGCAGGAAATATTTGATTTGTAAGTAAAAAAATTCATGATTCTAATTATTTGATTTTTTTTAAGTAACATTCAGGAATTTAAATACTCATTCCAAATAGTTCACTAAATAGTACCATTCCAAATAGTACTTAAATAATTTTTTCTCCACATTTGATATCTTAATGGTGCGTCAACATAATATTTGCAGCTGGCTCGGTTATGAGCTTTGTATTAATCGTTGTGAATTCTATTTTAATGCAGTTCTAACGATGCTAATTTGAGGTACATCCTAGCATATGTCTAGCTAATTTCTAATGCCTTCTTTGTATTAATTTCTATATTGATTCTTAACTTGATGATTTTTAAGACCAATGAATTTTGCAGATAGCTAATTATTCAAGTAATTTTTTTTGAATACGAACCAAATTGAATACTGTATCGGTAGAAGCATGGTGATTTTGAACAAATTAATAATCATAATATCGGTTGGAATTAAAGGTAATCGTCATGCTGCACAAAGTCTGGAAAACTCAAGTCTGGCTCTTTTAATTTTACTAACGACATCTATTAATCTATACATAACATATGTTGTTAGTGAAGATAATGTTATTTTTGACTATAGTAATAGCTGTAATTGATTCGATATCGTATATATATACATATACTAATGTTCTAAGACCAATGTTCTAAGACTTCAAAATAAAAAATTTTCAACTATATTTATTGTTGGTATATTTGTAAGCCCAAAATCTCGAGAACACTAAATCTATCCTTACCTATTTTGGTTGTCTTCATGGTCTAGCGTTTAAGTAACGTTTTTAATGGTGGTATCACAGCGTGTATTATATTTAAGTTATGCTAACATGAATTTATTGCGCTCGAACAAAATAAGAACTATTACGATTTAAAAACACAATTAAGCTTTTATATCGAATATCATTTTAATGACATTGACAATTAGATACACTAATTCTCAAATTCAATAGTATTTTTGTAAACAATAGTTAAACAACAATTAGAAACAAAATGTTAAAGATTTTTTGTACTACTCGTATTAGTGAGATCGGCTTCAATATCTTAAGAAAGAAAGTAAAAGTAAACACATCAAGTGTTCTAGAAATTAAGTATTTACTATTATATAATGTATATATGTATATATCATGGATGTGTGTATAAATAGATCCTATACATAATAAGAATACTCTCACTTATTAGCTGTTTCTATAGTCTGTATTACAACTGCTTAAGATAGTGTTATATACCCTATCGACCAAGGTACACTTGAGTCACATTATTGTCTTACTAAATATATCTATTATTTTATACTCTTATAGAACCAAATTTACTAAACAGATTTCTTTAAACTTTATCCAATTGCAAAGATTTAGAAGCAATTACCTTTCTATACAAACGAAGACCGATTCTATTTTCCACCTTTAACCCTCCCTTTATTTTCCCTTCTCATTGTTTTTTTTGACAGAATATACCATACACCTACGCTCCAACATTAGTAGCGATGCTTAATAATAGAAGATTGAATATTCATCAAAATTACACATTCTATTCTCAACTCATTCAAATATTACAGATATCTCAAATACATATCGTTTGAATTACAAAACAAATTCCTTATACTTTTTGTTTAGTGGGTATTATTTATTTAAGTTTTATACGTATTTGTTAGATAAAACGACTAAGTATTTGTTACATTTTTATCCTACAATCTACAATTTCACTTAGAAGATTTGACATCATTAAGTGTCTATTGTTTCGATTTTATTTCACATAGCATAAAACATAAAAAAAAGTCACCATTTAAATTCAACTTAAAAGTTTTATAAACTTTCAAATCAGGAAAAGTTAAAAAACTGGTTTCATATCTTCTCTCATTTATTTAAAAAATTCTATCCTGACAAATGCATAATTTTCATTTTGAAGATTTGCATATTCATCCAAATGCCATCCAAATCGCATACAAACCAATGATGTACACTGTCATTAGGAACGAGAAAAATGAAAAATTCATTATAATTAGAAACCATGGACGGAAAGGAACTATCGAACAGAGAAGGAAGGGAGTAGCAGATGTAACACTTTGAGATATGTGCTGCGAGTATTGCATATTGCAAGCAAATGCGGTAAATGTTGATTGTAAAAGTTGGTTATCTGATTTATTTGAGGGGCGTATGTGCTTACAACGTTTGCCGGTTAAAGTGGAAAGTGGAAAGTGGAAAAACCATTCGATAGTGCAAAGCACTATGCCAACGTACCATACGCACTGATGCTAGTCAAAGCACAAAGCGCCTGCACTAAAATCAACCCTTTTCTTCTGTGTTAGAAGATTTGAAAGTTATCAGTTCTCCAATTTACATTCCTATTATTAATATATCTAAGCGTTATATAAAAGCGTTACGTTTTGTTTGTTGCATGTCAGTCAGATCATCGAAGACAATGAATTAAATATTTAAATCTTAGTCGTCTTGACATGACCAGCAATGGAAACAGGGGTTAGCATTGCTATGAGCTATATTACGAAACTTTGTTGAAATGTTGTCATCATTTTATAATTTGTTAAACAAACCAGAATACGTTGCAGAGTCAGAGGAAAAAATTCCTTTACATAATAAAATAATTCCATTACATCAGTCATAAATGTCACCATACGCTTGCAAGATAAATGAATCTGGCCGGTCGTATTAACCATTGGTCAGTCCGCAAGCGGCAATCAGCCATTGCTGCACCTCAGATGGTGCTAATGATAATTATACGTATTTTAATGGTGATGAAGATGATAGTTGGTCAATTTACAAATTTACAAATGAAAGGACACAAAGCCTAAGATACGCGTATATGCAGATTTTGTTTGTTTACTGTAATTGCGAACAGGGTCATGCATAAATTGCCAAAGCATTTGCATAGCATTAGAAATTCGATATATAAGTATAATGCTTCTCTTGCTCATTTTCTTGGAAATGTAAAAAAAGGTTTTAAGAAATTGCGCCAAAATTTAAAAAATTTCTAATTTCGTTTTTTTTTGTTTTGTCTTTTTTTTTTGTTTTTTGTTTTTTGTGGAGTTTTGCTCATTTAAATATTATCTTGGCCAAAAAAGATTTCAATTTAGATTATCTTAACTAAGAGAACATTTTCACTATGTGTTTGCTTTACAACTGTAAAAATAGCATACAAAATTTAATCCTTCCGACTTATCCTGTTGTTCGTGCAGACCACAGTACATAATGCAGCACAAATATAAAGAAAGAGTTTTTCGAATCCTGCAAGTAGAAATGCAGAAGTGCATATGCTCATTTCGCATGTTGCACTTATTGCTGCCGGGGATTAGTGCACCGGACTAATGAGCATAATTATCAAAATCTTTATCTAAATTAAACACCGACTTTAACCCAAACAAGAGATAATGTATATTTATATATGTTGAAATAGTTTTCATATTTTCCTTAATATTTGTAAAGATGAAGATTAAAATGAGTATTATTGAACAATGTCATTCATATGAGTTCTAAATTTAGAACTGTTTATTTTTATTCAGCGTTGACTTACAGCTTAACTTTAAGTTACAATTTCAAGCTGTGACAGCCAAAGGTCTGGGGCTGTAGCTTTATTAAAATCAAATATATCATAAAAATACTTCATTTCTCGCTTTTAGGTTGTAGGTTCAAAAAGTTGAAGTGCACCACATTTTAGGCGTTATCTACTACCTTATCTAATATTAATTACACTCGATCGCATTTACTACAGCAGCATTGAAATAAATATATATTCTGACCGTTCGTTATTGTTTAATTAGTATTAGTTTTTTGGTTGCTATGAATAATTCACATGTCACATATCGAAAACGCTTTTGAATGCTGAAGAAATTATGTGTTGAAAATAAGGAGACATGCGTATCGAAGTCAGCAGAGTCGATGTACTGTGAAAGATACAATTTAATCGATTGAGAAAACTAACTCGACTTATACCACAAATTGATTCAAGGAGTGACTTCTGCGGCGTAAGTCCAACAATTCTCTTACCGCATTCGTTGTGACCGCGCTTGTAGATCGTGCAACTCGTGTACACTTGTGCTGGGGGCACGTATGCTTCTTACGGATATATACAACTTATTTATTATTGTATTGTAGTTGGAATTGCTGTTGTTACTTATGTTGTTTTTGGTGTTGCTGTTGTTGTTTGTTAAGTTACTATTGTTGTTTACCTTTGCTGCATTGAGATTTTTCGTGGAGCCTATGGTGCATCAGAAATTGAAAAATTATGTAAAAAATGTTTATGCAGGAATTTCAATAAATACTACAATATAAGATAAAAAATAAGAAATGTTGTGCATTTCTAGTTGAAAAGGTTACTGAACTCTTTCCTTCTGTACCTCCGATCGTTGTTTTTATTTGTTGGTGTTGTTGCTGTTGTTGTTGTTGTTGTTGTTGCTGTTGAATTCTAAATATTGTACATTGTTGACTTTAGACGAAGCGTCATATTTGTTTTTGTTAAAGTTGGAGCTACAGCGCCGCTTTTCACTATTGCAGAGGTACGATTTAGGCTATCCAGAAGATAAAAATTTATTAGTATGCATGGCTTAGATACATTTTAGCATGGAGACCAATGTGCCACTAAATAAATATTGTTTTAAGTTACCTGACTGCATTGTAATTCTGATTTCCTTCATCGGTAGTAACTTTGTTTTGTGATTTCGTTCTATGTTGACGATAAATATGAGCAATAATTATCTATAAAGAAATTGTATTAGTTTTTATTTAATTTTTCTCCATCATATGCACATACGTGACATGCGTTACTACAAAGTCTTATACTTGTTTAATAAGAGTTACTTCTTATAAGTTTAAACAAATTTTTTTTAAAGCTGGTCAAGAAACTCTATATTTTGATATTTCGGTCAGATAATATAGGTATTAGCTGACCATGATTCCAATGATTTAAAATTAAAGACGAGTGTTTTTATTACAAATAAATGAACTGCCGACGAAATTATTATTTGGATGCTTGAATTTATTAGATACTTATGTGGTTCCATCGGGCAAATTGTAATTTTAATTTACCAAATATTTTTTTGCAATACAGTAATCAATTTAAACTGTAGATTAGCTGCCAAAATACTGATGTAAAATGTCGTAATAAGATGCTGATCTAATTCGAAGCATTCCCAACATTCCCGTTATTTACCTTAGTTACAGATCGACTCAATCGATGTCTTAAAGCATATTGTGTTCTTTCAAAACTTAAAATTTAATTTCCAAAGTTTTATGTATTAAAAAATATATACATTATACATATTTATAGCTTTTATGCTTTCAAAAGTCAGCAATTCTTGCATCGGTGTGCGGTTGATATACTTGCATGGAAGGAGGCACGATAGTTGCCAATAATATGAAGCATATGAATATGAAGTTAGGCTATTTTAATGTCTCGGGGATCACTTTTTCACTGGCTTGGATGAGATAACGAAAGTAAACTTATCAGATCTCCTCAACTTCATCTGGAAAACCAAATGATTTAACAAGGATTATAAAGGTTAGCAACTCGCCTCTCCCGGCAAAATTTTTTGAGAGCATCACAATGGGCAATATATGGCTCCGAGTGGAAGTGCTGACAATTGGCAGCACGCGCCTTTCGAACCTAACCTAACCTAAGCTAGTCTATTGCCCGGCCAAACTAGTGAACTGTCCCCAACGTTAACATGAGCGTAAAAGCAAACTTTTAATATTTTGACTATAAATATTTATTATTATAATAAAATTGATTAAATTTTTACAAAACAACATTCATTGTAGCTTTGTTTTTAAAGATAACTGACAAGTTTATTTTTATTTCCATAGACATTTTTCTTCGATGTTTTTATTTTTTTTTAACAAATCGTTCAATGAACCATTTGCATTGCTCTCTGAAATTGAGTATTGTGCATTGTTATCATCTACAAATATTATGCGATATACCTTATAAATAATCCTACTCGTACTTGTTTTACTTAAAGCATCCTTAGTACACTAACCGCCTACACTGCATTCATTAACCGTATCTGCTATTTTAGCCTCTTTTAGCCAACGTTCTCGTCTTCGTCTTCGCACCACACATTAACGACTTTAACGGCCAAAATCAGTGTGGCACGTTAAACGAGTTTTCGTTCTCACATCGTTCAGGTTGATCAGGCACCAAAACCTTCATTGTGGCACGTTTTTCTTTGGCTTTTGTTTTTGTCTGTAGTTTTGTTGTAGTTTTTTAGCATCGAAACACACATACAGCCCAGCATTTCTTCCACATATCTCTACTGAATGAGGCAACATACATGCAGTGCCTTAAAATAAACTTCGAGGTGCCCAGCCCAAAAGTCGGTCGAGGCACTAACGTTCGTTTGATGTTCTTGTTAAATGCAATACGTTAGGCACAGAACAGAACAAACTCAATTTATTTTTTTATTGTTTTGTCACAGTTTTGTGATCTCATAAATTGGTACTAAAGTATTGGATTGCGATGCCAGTTATTTTTTGACTGCATCAAAATGCAATAATGCGAGTAACGTCTACGCAATCCTTTATGCCACATAAGATGTGCCCACCGCACGCCCACAGTCAGTTATCGACAGTATTTATTGCATTAACAGAAATTGCTTTACAGAATTCGAGTAGGAAAGGAATATTTCGCCTAATTATATTCGAGTTATCTCACTTCGAAATACTCCATGAAATTTTTTACAAACTCACTGACGCAAGTCTATTCAGAAAAATGAATTTTGATGCATTTTTTCAATAACTTTTTACAATTTAACAAAAACAAAATAATGAAATTATATATGCAACCCTAATTGTAATGTTCACCAATTTATTTTCTGTAGTCCACTATTCCGTTGCGCTAGAAATCGTGAGAATTGATTGAAATAGTCAGCGCCTTTAAAAAGGAAAATCTAATTTTTTACTCAACAGGTTTTCTTCTAAGTTCTACTATTCATATCATAATTATAGACCAGTTTTCCCTGTTTTCGATTATTAAGCGCATTGATTGGATTTTTTTTTATCATGGATTGACGATTGAGAAATTGGTTTCAACCTTTTGAATCCTTTAGTTTTGAGGTTTTCTGCTGTTATTCTTAATTATAAATTAAAGTGTTTCTTTTGGTGTAATAAGAGTGGCCCTTTGTGATGCATCCTAAAGACGTCGGGTCAAGTGAGTTCATTTCATTATATCTGTAATATTTCAAACCAACTCAAAAACTACTTGATCATCATTTTAAATGATGCGCATTCCTGTATATAAAAAAATCATTTTTTTCTTTACTGGATATGCGCGTATGCATTTTTTATAAAGTCAATACTTAAGACATAGATCAATTAATAATTTTTTGGTACATTAAAGCAATCATAAAAATTAGATTTGCCCTTTAACCAATCAACTATTTTTTTATGTGTACGGATTGAAATATAAATAAGTAAATAATTTATATACAAATATAAATATAGAAACGAAATTTGAATTATGAAGGTTAGGAATTTAGTTTTCATTTGTTTTTGTACTTTCTAAGAAATCTATCTGATATATATTCAAATATTAGGATACCTTCCATATAATTTTATTGATAGATATTTTAAACCTTCCTCAAACTATTAAATTTATTAGTCTAATGCTAATATGCTATATTATCATTATTCTAAATATAATAATAGTATAATCCCCTCCCGTCTTCATCTATCAACAGCTTCAGTACTGCATTTTTATTACTTATTCTTGTAAGATCATGCACCAAAACTATCTTCTATAAGTTGGCAGTATTATAGATACTTTCCTTTTTTATTTTAAATATTTTTTGAGCATGTTTTAACCAGTTCAAGCTTGCAACTTATTCAAAAAAAAATACGTTTTCTAATTAATTAAGTTCATTTAATTACTACAATGAACTGTTAGTTGCTCTTATTTTTAGGAAAAATAAATTATCTAAAGTTAACTAAATATTTTTTCCCAATCTATGTATAATTTATTTGTGTGACTTCAATAATCAACTAATTTATTCGGGCTCTTCATATAAGTAAAGCTCAGTAAGTCGCAGCATTTAGAAACTTTTCCTGCAACTTTGCTATTACACATTTAAACCACTAAAATTCAGTGAAATTTTATCATTTAAATCATTATTAGATTAAAAGGAGGCCATTTATCGGTTGTTCGCAAACAAAACTTTCCATTCATCAATCGTGAAATAACTGCCTCTCAAAGTTTTCACACATAAGCATTTGTTTTTATGAAAGCGCTCCTCTCTAACCGAAGGACTACTTTACTCTTGTTGGAAAGATACAAATCTGTCGATGACAGTGAGGGCATCCTAAAAACAGTTAGATAAGCAGTGTTCCTGATGAACTACAGCAGTTCAAGTTGACATGTGGAGTAACAGTAATTGTTGCTCAAAAACGGATCCACTGTAGTCACCGCATTAAATGCATACGTTGAAAAGATGATATGTTACTATGACGTTTAAATAAAATAATAAAATAAAAATAAAATTTTTTTGGAAATAATTTATCAGTAACTACAATAAGTGCTTACTTTCAGGATTAAAATTTTTTTCTATTTCTCATTATATTATTTTAAGATTAATGTTTTTAAAGAACAAAATGCGCAATTTTTATATTATTTTACTAATGTAAACCCATGTACGCTTTATTGTTCTTACTCATTTGAAATAGTCAATGTTTGTTTTTTTTTATTTTTAACATTTAGAGTACAAAATCCTGAAACATTAATGTTGTTACATAGGTTTTATATATATTTCGAAAAAAAATATAACGAATTTTACAACTATTCTCGCTCTTTGGTGCATTATAAAAGTTAGCTGAAGCGAAACACCCTTGATATGAAACCCAAAATTACCGCGAGTTTTCTTCTTAATTATATGAAAATAATAAAGGAATATTTATTTTCGGGTTGTCCGTCTTTTTGTATATCTGTCTAGGCAAACCCAGGCCAGTAATATAAACATTGGAAGTGAAACATGATGAAAAAATGTAGTAAAATGTAAATATATAAAATGTCCTAAAAGACGATGAAGGCCAAAGTGCATCCGTTGACTTTCAACTCCTCAGCAATTACAAAAGGATGAAGCTGCGTATGAAAAAAATATTTAATAGGAAACACAAACTTTTTACGACTTTTTTATTTCAATTGCATGAACGCTTCGTAATCAGTTTTAATGTCTTCTCAATGCCTGGAATTGAAAGTAGATAATCCGCGCTGTGTGCTCCGCAGCCTTACTAATTAAATATTTTTATATGTGCCAGATTTTTTTCTCTATTTTGATAAATGAGGAGTATTGAATTTTTGTTTGTAATTCTCTATTAGAAAATAAAAATCTATTAAAAATTGTCTTCAATGCTGGGAAAGTGTGTGTGGATTACACGGATTTTTGCAATTTTTTTAGTTTTATTTTTTAATTTCGCATAGGAAATGACTTGAAAAATGCTTTCTTTTTAACCAATTCTGCCCATTTTTTGCTGTCAAACAAATCTACCAAACGATTAACAACATTCATATTTGATTTCTCAGAAATTGGCACGTCCCAAGTGACCCACTCCGGGTAAAACATTTTCTAGTCAATGAATCTGAAGTTCATTCAGTAAAATTTTACATGCTGGAAACAAATAATCTGTAATGCTTATAAAATAAAACGAAAATATTTTTCTGCCAAAAGTACTAAAAAATCAAAGGATACTTTGTGCTTATTTGTATGTCACCTCAGGTGACAATTCCTTGACAAGTGAACGGAGTGGGAAAGATTTGTTGGTTTAGTTGGCGTGGCTTGGAAATTAAAGGTAACGTACAGAAAGTGCAATTCTGCAACAATTGTTGCAAGACAAATCAATGACGCGGCAGGTTTCTAAAGTTACTTATGCGGTGAAAACGCTTAAAGGTGTTAACTCCTTAATGTGCCTGAGAAACTGAGAAAACACTATAATAAATTCTTCATACTGATTTGTTTAAGAATTTCGCACTTCAATAAAACAAATTGTGTGTTTCCAGCTAAATTACAAGTTGTGGCCTTGTCGGTGCAGTGCCGCATTGTTTGTAACGTGACACACAACCCTACTAAATTGCATAATATGGAGACTATTCGTATTTATTACTGTTTTACATACCGAATTTGGTCAAGAATAAAATTATAAGGAAGTCATTTCCGTTACAATTTGTTTGTACTGACTTTCTAAATAGTCAACAACACATCATACTTGTCCTTGAGCCCTTTAAGAGTAAAGATTTTTGGCGGGAGTTGCTTTATTGCGTCTTGCTGGAAGTACGTGCCCACAATTACTCCCGTCTTAAAGTACATGCATTTGCATTGCATATTCATAGGCTGCTATGAGTACCGAACATGTTTTTCATTGGAACTACTAAAAAGTCGTGCAGCGTTTCCATTATAGGCTGCATATTGTAATACATGTGTTGCTGGATATTATAGGTTTTCAATTGTTATAGCATTTAGTTTGCAATTGAAATATTTTCGAGACAAACCT